ATTTCCTTCTATACTTTTAAGCACGTAGCTATTTATTATTAGCATTATTCTTCCGACGTCTGATTTCTTTTTAATTATAGGAAATGCGTTTTTCTAAGGTACATAAACTTTTGGGATTGATTGTATAGCTAATACATCCTTAAAGGCTCGTACAACTTTAAGTAGCGCGAAACGCGAACGTCGTCGCAAACAGAAATAGACGCCTCTTGCGAAATACCTGTTGATATTGGGTGACTAATCGAAACGGAAGATGTTCAACAGGCAATCGAAGAGTGAAGGGAAAAAACTCGAGAACGGAAGCTGCCAGCAAATGGTTAGGGGATAGATTCATGAGTGTCGATGCAGCCATCAGGCAAACATCGGGTTGGTACGGGGGGCGATGGAACGGGCAAAGCCGGAGCGCAAACAGCTCTTTTACACCCTCTACTTTCCACCTGCCTCACGTCCAGCCGACCTGATAAGTCGTAAAAGGGAACTCTTTAATGCGTGAGACTAGTATAATGAATGTCACAGTTGTAAGTTGTATAGTCGGGTTGCAAGGATAATCGTTCTTGATACCCTTTGAGCCCCTTACCTTGAAGCTCGGAAATAGGATAGCATCTCTTCCATAATAGAGTGACGTCAATTTCTACATAAAAGCATTATTTTTAAAAATTAGGGTAATTTCGACAATTTTTTATAAGATCTGTTGTTGTCTAATAAAATATGTATGGACTTTTATCGAGGGAATTAATGAATTTCGCAGTTGTAAGTGGTAGATTGTGAAGATAATCGTTTTTGATACCTTTTGAAGCTAAGAGATAAGATCTCCTCGATAATATAGTGACTGTAATTCTTAGATCAAAGCGTTACTTTTTAAAATTAGGATCATTTTTACAATTTTTATTGAGATCTTGTTTGATAAAATGCGTCCTTTATTGCAGGAGCGAACTTTCATCGAGGGGGACATGCTTAGCGGTGAACAAATCGATCTGAAAGATTCACGAGTTAAGGGTATCGTAAATTTTAGGGGCTATTCGAGAGAACAATCCACGTAAAAGGATCCTTGTGAAAAGAATATCAGGCAGGGCGATCGTGTTGCAGAAACCATAACGTCGAAATACGCTAAAACCTGTCGGATCAGTCCCTTTTTCTTTTCTACGAATAGCAATTCGACGATGTTACCCTAAGCTTAATAGTATACATAAAACATTATAGTGGTTCCAGATAAAATAAATAATAAATAAATAATCGATGATATGAAATTAGTTTAAAGGTAATATATGAATCTAAGAGAGAAATCAAGGAATAATGAAGTGACTCTGTATAAAATAAATAGTGAATGAATAATTTATGTAATTATATGAAATGAGTTCAAGAATTTGGTGTTAAAAGAATCAAGGAATGTAATGAAATGAATCATAAGATCCTCGAGCAAAATATCCTCTTCAAGAGTAGGTATATCCATCACGTGGCTAAGACTAACTTGATATCGATAAGCAAATTAATGCACCGAGTGGCGCAGCGCCTGAAGCCACTAGGCAAACAGTAAACAGTCAGTAAATTCCGGTAATTCGATTTCCATAATCCGTTATATCTGTGGCTTGGTGTAAGATCCAGATGTCAATATTTCAAAATATGCTAAAACACGTATTCAAGTAATTTTTAATAAAGAAGTGTTTACTGTCTCAAATATACTTTGTAATGTATAAGAAGAAAATTGAATCTTGTGCCACTTGTACTTTCTTACAAATATTGGGTGATTTTTGCATAAGTATACAAATAGGATTATAGTAGGAATGACATAGCCATATGAGAATAGATCGAATGCCCAAATGGCAGAGCAGGCGATTGAGGGAAAGAAAACGAATGGGAGGATTTCTTCTTTTCTACCTGTGGAACAAAACCAAAAACTTCTCCAAGTGATGTTCTGTCTATCATTTACAGGATTAACAGAAGAGGGTTTCACATAAGCGATTAAATCATTAATTCATTTGAACACCGATTGGCAATTAACGTTTGGTTTCTGTGATTCAGATTTGACTAGGAATTATAATTATTTAATTATCTTAATTGAAAGAAATTCGAATAAACGATTAAATTCTAATTCTTAATTAAGGTATACCCCAATTATCGATTGAGATTTAGAGCAATTGAGAAATCTATAATCCTATGACAAAAGTTCATTGGACTCTCGGTCTACTTCCTTAGGTCTATAAAATAGAATTAAACCCTGTACCTAGAATTTAATGTGATTACTTTTTACGTATAATTATTTACAAACAAAATTTTTGCACAAAAAGATAATACAAATTTTACAGCAAACTACAGGTGTGTATAACAATCGAAACCGTCACGACGATACTACTATAACTTAGCTAAGGATCTGTCTGATTCACTCTGTGTCGAGTGGAAGTCGTTTTAGCACTCCGGGTTAGCTCGGTAATTGGAGAACCGAGATTCAGAGAGTTTCCTAGATTAGCATTGAAATTCGAGTGGTGTAACGGGAAACGAAGGTTCGTAGACCGATGGGTGAACGTCAACGAGTGAATAATACGATGGTAGAGTTACCATTATGTATCGTTCTATCTCGCAAAAGTATACAGTTTTCATTTTCAAACCCTAAGATTCGTATAATGACTTATAAATATTTTTCTTATCTATGGAAAATCGGTACGTTGTGTTTCTTTTATAGCCGATTCCCGGAGATGAGAACTCGACGAGAAACCTGTTAAAAAGAAAAGGTCGTCGACATTTACATACAATCTATTGGTAACAGTATTACCTTCTTTTCTTCATTCGAGTCACATCGTCTTTAATATCGATCAACTACTGGATGAAGAATTATGTCTATACTAGAATTATTCAAGGTACTCGTTAATAAATCTAACATGAAGGAAGCTGGGTGTAAAATAAATTAATTGAACTTACGAATTGAAGCTTCACAAAAAATCAAGGAATGAGAGAAAGTAAATGATAATGGAGAAGACTGTGTAAAGTATTCATTCTTTATTTCTTAAAAAATACGTGTATGTGTCAGAAACGTTGTTTCAACGGAATAAAATACAAGCTCGTATAGCTGAAGTATCGTATTATGTATATATTCCATCGCTTACTGATACAATCGTACGGTGTCGTAGTTCTAACGGCGCTGACAGAGAACATATTGAAACGCATAAATTAATACATTACTGATAATCGTATAAAATATACTTCAATCATCGCGGTGTTCCAAGAAGTCGTTTCGTGAAATCCTGATTGACCAATTGACGAACGGCGTCCGCCGTTCGGATATCTTTGCGCGTTACTTTTCTCCACATCACTCAGGATGAATTCGATCGACTACACTTGTTCTTTCCGCCCTCGGAAACAGCTCGAATACTGAGGATACGATGAAGTTGTAGATCAAAGGACTACGCGTTCTAAGCGGCCTGGACCACCTTGCTTTGTGGACCTTTCTGAGTAGAATTGATTTTGTCGCCTAGCGACAGTGCCATGCCCTGGCTCTTCGCTCTGATACGAATATGCCCGACCACGGGAGCATCTGGTTTGTTCAGCGGCTTTTCGATCGACATGTTCGCCAACGCGTCCTCGCCGAATATCGACTTTGCGTACATGTTTGCGGCCATGAATCCACACTGTCCAGAAAGGGCCTGAGAAACATATTTACAACCGTTTAGATCATTTAACAAATTTCAGAGTTGTTTAAAATAGACATTGTTCAGCGAGGTTATAAAATTCGATCCGTGATAAAAATTTTAGGTAGAATTTGTGAAGTAGAAAGTGCTTCCACCGACTTCAAGTGATAGAAGCATACAATACCTTTTCTGGAGTAAGGCAACGCATATTCGTAGACTTCAACAGGTGAGCGAGATACTCCCTCAGATCTGACAATGTCGTATTTACAGATACTTTGTTCTCCCATTCGAATTCTGCCCACATTTGTCGGAATTCTACGTCGGTACAGGTTGCCGGCACTATGTAATCCATTATATCGATATGTATATCGTTCAATACTACCACACTCCTATCAGATCCCGCGCCAGACACATCGTATACTGAAATCAATCATTTATCGAGGTATTATCGAGTATCGAAAATGAAGTCCATTTATGAGTCTTATGCGATTGAAATAAAGAAATTGATAATTACCTATATTTCCAAATATTATTCCATTCTCCGTGGAAGCCACTTTCACGTTCGCCTTGATGCTAGCAAAATCTCTAGGTGCGAGCACGATAGGCTGCGGCCTCTCCACGAGTTTCAAATCGCCCATCGTAGCCAGTTCCAAAGTGCAGTTTTGCAATGTGTCTTCGGTCTGATTTACAATTAGCACGTCGAGTACGATATCGTATTGATTCACATGGACCAGAGCTTCCGCGTATACAGGGTCCGAGAAACCAGTCAATTGAGTGACCTTGCTTAAAGCATTTGGCGCTGGCGCGTCTCCGGCAGCACCGGGTCTTCCGGCAACAGCCGCGCTCAAACTTTGTTCGAACACGTCGCCAGCTCCGCCTGTTACGTCCGAACCGCGGCTCAGCTGCAGGAATTGTATCGCGTCGTCCACTTGAACGATGCTACCTGGTTTCTCCTTTGCCTATTTAATTACACCACCATTAATTTTTTTAATTCAGGATATAATAATACGAGTTACAAACCTTTTGATTCTGAGAATCCTCCTCTGCCTTCGCGGTCAGCATTCTGCCCAGAGCATCGCGGCAACCCTCGGTGAAAACTTTCTGCACGAGCGAAGTGGGGCAAGCCAAAGATCTCAGGCATAAAGAGATACGTTCAGCGTCGTCATGCGTCATCCCCCTCGTAGGTAGATCAGAACGACCTAACTGCAGCACGTTGGACATAATGAGCATCGCTTCCGCTTGCATGCGATTGTTCTTTCGAACATCCTCCTCGAGATCCTTGTAACGTAGCGCAAGTTTGGCTAAAGTCGCAGCAAGCGCGGCACCAATGAAGAAGTCTCCATCCATCATATATTGAACCAACGCTGGGCGTTTTTCTTCCGTTTTACGAGCAGATGCCGTGCTAAATGCGCTCTGCGTGGCGTAAGTGCCGTCCGATGTGACCAATTGCGCTGGCGCAGTCTGACCATTTCCTTCCTCCTGCGATTTTTCACCGGTTTGACGCTTGTCCTCAGCTTCCAGCAATGGCAAGTCTCCCAACGCAGCTCGTATGCGATTCAATACAGCTTCAATGTCCTCCTTCGACGTCGCGTATTCACCGAGTATCCACAACGCCGCTCTGTGTACTTTCACCGATCTTATGTGTGGGAATACTTCAAGCAGTTTATCGACGATCAGAGGTCTGAGATTCTCGAACCGCTGAATCGCTTCGCGAACGAATACCAAGACGTCGGTTGCAGCGGCCTCGTTGTTCTCCGATAGGAAATCTGTTAATACCGGTATCACTGTAGCCGCGACGTCCGAGAATTTGATGGAACATGCGTGTAGCGTTCTAACGAGCAATTGACGATATTTTCCAGCATCCTCGTGCTCCCCGCCGGCCGTTCTAAGTACCTCCTTCTTCAACAGTTGAACCATTTCTTCGATTGTACGGCTCGTTACCAAATCCATTGCGAGCGCAAGTGTTTTCGTTCGAACTTCCAGTGCCGGAGAACCTACAATACAAATAAGTAAAGGAATATTAAATAGTGACTCCTATTAGTATTCCGACACACTTTAAAATAGAAGAACATTTTTAATATCGGATCGAACAAATTGGTTTTGTTTAGAACGTCAAGAAGTTTAGTTTACTACAAATCCTAATAAACAAGTTAAAAATCAGGTCTTTTACTTTTTTCATTAGAGACATCGAAGACTAGTAATTTGTTGTAATCTTTCGTTACACATTATATAGTAAAGTAAGCCTTTTATATTGTTGCAATAGTTTCTATTGCTATAAGTACCTAGAACTCTAAGTACATCCATCACTAAATCTTGGAGGACTCTTTCGTAAGCTGGGCTCTCCTTCATCGCGATCAATCGATCTAACACGATCAGTTTAACATTGTTATCGCTTTCTTTGACGACCAGTTCGATGTAGCAAGAAGCCGCAGCTTTAATTGCGGTAGGTGCGCTGGAAAGTGTTACTAGAGTGCCAGCTGCTTCGTAACGAACAGCAGCACTTGGCGAGTTCAACAAACTATAAATACATCTGATAAAACGGGCTCTCTCCGATGGATTCGCCAGGCAAACCTATGAAAATATACAATTGTTAATATTTAATATTAATTGAAAAATATATAGTTAAGAGCAAAACTGAATAACCTTTTAACTATCATATCGCGTCTTTGAATAGTTAGATCGATTAGCTTACTAAATGCTGTGTAAATTAAAAAAAAATTTTAATTAACAAAAACGTAGGTCGTTTGGACCGTTACTAAAGTCATTCAGTTTTAAATGGTGCTGTCTGTTTTCTGTTCAGTGTGTGTACCTTATAAATTAATTCTACGATAACCAGCTGTAGTATATCACCAAAGCTGGGCACTTGGTCAAGACAAGCGGCTAAATAAGCCAGTGCTCGGCTTTGGTCAGCATGCAACAGCATTAAAAACGCGTTCCTCCTACATGACATGTCCTGTTCGCCTTCCAAATACTTCGCTATTAATTCTGGTGCGTCCGGTATGAGAAACTCAAAGTTCCTGTAAATTGTAAAAATAGCTAAGACTGCATTGCGCCTGACATAGGAGTGTCTGTGCTCTAGACATGCAGTTATCGCAGGCATCAGAGGCTCCAAAAGTTCTGGCTCCTTCAGTTTGCATAAAAATCTGAAAATTACGATATTTTATTTTCGAATCATTAAAATAGAAAATTTAGGTCTGTACCTTAAAGTAGAGCCTCTCACAAATTCATTTGGATGCTGTAAGTCCTTTCTGTAAGCATCGCAGACTAAAATCATTTCCTGAAGCAATTTCCCATCAGGTGATGTTTTTGGTACAATCTCCCAGAATATCAACAACAGCTTTTTTATGGTGTGATCCTGTAGCGGCAGGACGAACCTGATGATGGTCATCAAGAGTCCTGGCAAACGTTCGCCGGACAGGATCATGTGAATTGTTTTTTTAAGTGCATCGATCTTTGTCTGGACATCGCCTTTCTCCAAATCCTGCTTTAGCTGGAGCTCGTTCAAGGGCTCAGTATCGGTCGGAATGTTTATCAGAGTGTAGCAAGGTTGTTCTGCTACGGTGCTCATTTTTCCGGTTGTTCTATATCCTGTCTAAAAAAAATCTCTCACCGCCTGAAATGAATTAAGAGACGATGAAAAATAGACCTCATGAAGTTATTCGGAAAACAAATGGGAAGCGAGGTTAAGTTCGCATTGAACATATATTGCGTCGGTCTGTTACTAAATACAAGACAGTTTGAGGATAGTTTACAGATCATTGATAGAGCTTCACGCACCTGATCACGAAGTAGTAGCACGACAGCAAAGGGCAACGATATCTTTTATTTGTTTCACTAACATTTATACAGAATCCGGACAGAAGGAAAACAGCATACGTGTCAAACCCCTGCGCTAAACGACTGAGTACAGATGGAGCCACCACCCACGTTCCACATGTAAATCCGAAGACTTTTCAATATCCATCGTCGTTTACTTTTACAAAATATTCTTTTCGTAGCATTATTTATATAATTATGTAGCTGTTATATGTATTTTATCATATATACTATAATACTTCGATTTTAAAACAACGTACGACGATGTTTCAACATAGATTTTCTTTCGAAATTAAGAAAATATTTAAGCACAAATGTTTTTAGAAGATTTCAAGCTGTTAATATTTTATTAGTCATAAATAGTGGGAATTTAATTTTAAAATATCCATCTATATACATAGAAATAATATTAAACTAATTCGTAGAATAAAAGTAATTTAAGACACACCAGAAGTATCGTTAATACCATGAAAAAATTTTAATTCTGCATTCAAGGACTTCGTCAAGTACTTTTGGATTGCATAATTGAATTATATGATTTTTGACGAAACACGTTTTGTATGTTTGTTACGCAAAAATTTGTAAACAATTTCCAAGTAAAACATAAAGTTCGCAATTAATCGAAATACACGAAACAGCTGTTTTTCAAACAGAATTACGTAACAGACATTGTAACCAAATGCTATTAATTTAGTTTGTCCAACGATAAATCATCGTGATTAATGTACGCTTCAAGTGGAACACTACTGTCCTAGAAAACAAACTGAACTAAATAGATTGTAACTACTTTCGAAGAAATAGAGAACTCGTTTGCGAACGTTACTATAAGCAATGAAATCGTACCAAATAGTTAGTAGGCTTTTTTCAAAGTAAAGATATATATAGATGTCAGCAGAAAATATTTGGGTCTGATATTATGTCATTTAGACCAAAATTATTTATCTACTTATTTATTAATTACTAATCAAATTACATAATGCAGTTAACATCAATATGTATTTAATTATATAAATATAAATATTTATTAATATAAATGTCATTCTATAAAAACACAAGTACCTTTCCAAAGGTCTGGTATTATCAGGTATTATTAAAAATAATAATTAATCTTGTAAGTACTTATGACACTGATACATTATCATGTATTTAAAATATACCAAAGCAATTATACTTTATCTAACTAATCACGGAATTCTTTTTATTAGAGTACGTGAAATGATCGATAAACTCTCAACCCACGCATTATATCGAATGAGATCCTCTACGATCACTACATACATTTTTTTTCTGGACTAAAAATGAAGATTGTTTGTTGAACAGTTTTTATAGACTTTTTATTCCCTATCTTCATATGAATTATTTCTGTTTTACGATATCTTAGAACTTTGACGCTGAAAGATATGCAGTAAAAAATACAGCAAGTATCTGGGATTGAGATGAAAAAAATAATGATATCTTTTATTAGGAATGTTTAATTAAATTTCTGTATTTATAGTTACTGATGTTGCTAAAATATTTATCAAATTAATTTATATTGTTCTTATTAGACTTGAGTCGTCGAGGATGTATGGTTGTAAGTAGTGATGGAATTTAAAATACTTAGAATCTGATTCCAAATTCGCCTAACTAAAAGAAAGAAACGGTTCAAAAAGTTTACAATAAGTTTATTTTTTTAATATAAACTTGACAAGAAGTTCACATAAAAAAATAAATGTTACACGTACCATGCAAACTGTAAATCTATTTTCGATCTGATTCCTCTTCCTCGTTTAGCCAAAGAAGTTACTGTTAATAACTACGGGAATATGAGCAGCCCCGCTGGAATTCTTTCCGTCGCTTATGTCACGTTGCTAAAAAAAAAATGGCTCTGTACGAATCAATGTTATTATTACCTGACGATCACGAATTCTTTTCGTGCCGTCATGTAACGATGATCTCAATTTTTGTTAATCTAATTTAGCAGCAGTTTGGTTAAGAATAAACTGGATTCATGCATCAATATTGTACCAATAAGTATTATATTAATGTACGTGTAACATAAAACAGGCTTTAACATTCGTTAAAGTAATTCAAATATGTACACAATTTCTATCTCAGATGTATTAAAAATTTATTTCTTATACTTATATAGATTTCATATAGACTAATAAATTAAAATATGATTGTATTTGTTTATTGTGTATTCATTTTATGTATAATTTAAGCTTTTAGAGGAATATGATGTCGACTGGTAATGAAATGAAATATTTCATTAACGTGCAAGGGCATGAAGGAATGAACGATTATGTTCTTCAAAATGTAAACCAATTCCTACATTTTGGCTGACAAGACTAAGTTAAATTCATTAGTAATTAATTAATATAAATTATTAATAAGTAACATTTTATGTTCATGAACAGCATATTATGTTATAACTATAAATGGAATAATGAAATCGATGAAAATAGCGAGCTTTGTAAGGATCGTACAATCAGATTTTCAGATTATGTATACAATTTATTGAAGTCATTTTATATTATTTACAATTTATTTCTGTTACGGATGATAAAAACTAGGCCTGACACTGTGAACGCAAAATATGTAAAATAAATATACAGGGTGGTTCACCAGATATTAGTCCCGTGATTGTCATCATTATTATTAAACGTGGCAAAGAATGTTCGTATATAATGTTGAATGATTTCAAGAGAGACATATTCTGGTGAATCCCATTTAAAAGAATGTTGACGACCTTCATATCTCTATTACACGTCCACTTACAAAATAGGTCACAACAGAATGTGCCTCTCTAAATCATTCAACATTATATACGAACATTCTTTGCTACGTATAATAATAACGATGAGAATCGAGGTGGTAATGTCTGATGAACCACCCTGTACATTTCATACAGCTATCTAATTCTATCTTTCGTTGTCAGTAAAAAATGATACATTAATTCCTACCGCAACGAATCGCTAATTGACCAAGAAATAGCCAATAAGCAGAGTTAAATGCGAACAGAGAAGACGCCGTTCGTGATGCGGTAATTTTTCGAGATCCCGGCCCCGATTAAGCGGACGGTTCTACTACCACGGCGTCAGATAAAATTAAAGGCTAGATTGCTTAGATCGAGCGCCGGTTTAATTGCAAACGTCTCGTCGCGACGCCGGAGCCGAACCCCAATTACCCCCTCGCCTCTGTCTTGCCTACTTTTTTCGATTAACTCCTATATCGGCACGGAGCCGCGGTGCGGCCATTGCACGCACAAAGGGGGTCAGACACGCGTTCAACTCGCCCCGGTCATCTTTCCGCAATCGCCCGCCCGCCCGTCTCTCTTCTCGACGTTAGTTTCGCGGAGTTCGAAGACGCTCGTCAAGAATATTCGTCATTATTGGCACGAAGAGTTTCGCGTTCGTCACGGCGTCGGCATTTCTTTGTGGAGCGCAACCCGCCTGTTTCCAATGCCTTATTCCGTCCGTCTGTCGCGCCGTTTCGATTAATTAATCCTCGCGTTTGCAATTTCCTCGGTCGAGTTTTATGATCGTTACATTCGCGGACCGTTTAATCGGCGGAATTGCATCCGCGCGCGGACGCTTGGGAAGTCATTCTTTTTTGCTCGATAATTAATTCGCGCCGGGAAATTTTCCTTCCTGGAAAAGGCGTAATTCTGTCGCGCAAGGTGCATCCTAGTGACGTCAGGATTAGTACGTGACCATTCCTTTTTTAGCTTACGATTACTTACATTTTTTTAGCTGATTGCAAAATCTGCCTCAAGTTATATTCCTTTAAAATCCAGAAATTCATATATTTCCTTTAGCCGTAACCATTTTTAGTAGTGCCATTTCAATACTAATTTCTTATGAAATCGATAATAATTAATAAATGAACGGAGGTAATTTCTTTTTTACAATTTATTTTGCAGCGTGCAGGAGAGGATGTATTATTCCATCGTCGATTCGAAATTAAATTGAACGCGGATTTCACGGTGCCTGATGACGTCGCAGTGGGCAACACGTAATAATTGATGAATCGTCACCTGTTGCCGGGCCTCCGTACGCTTCGAACGCGTTTAATAAAGCGTATCGTGCACGCTTGGAATGCGACTACCGGGTAAACAAACGCGATTGCAATATCGGTTCCGCAACACGTCCGCACGGATAACGATCGTGGTTAAAAGTGCGGAGGAGCGCGGCCGGAGCCTCGAGTTGTCGAAGGGCCAACGAACCGTCACGTAATCCCCGCGTCCTATGCGTTTCAATACGTTCTAATCGCGATAAATATTATGCGAGCCGTGTTAGTCGTGGCGGCAGTCCTCGCGGTCGTCGAGGTATCGGCGATCGATCGGAGGCCAAAGAACTGCAAAGACGTCGTCAGAAATGTGATCATGGACAGCTGCAAGGGGCCCAGGGAGAAGCGATCCCCGCAGAGAAACAATTTAGAAAACTTGAATCAGCAAATGTCGCAGGCGATTCAAATGGGTAAGCAGTTCTCGTTTTATAAAGTGAACAGTGAGACAGAGATTGGACTAAAGTGAACGAAAAGATAAATGGTGCAACGATTTTTCACGGCTACGATTCCAACAATTTTTATCATTTGATTTGGCTTTTAGAAATGGCCAGCGATGAGGTGAATCAACAGAAACGTCAGGGTATGTTCCCTCCTTATGGTTACGGGTTTCCAGCCGAGAGTTTCATGTCGGAAAGGTTCCAGGAAACGGATGTCAATTTGCCAGGGATTGGCAACTTTGAGAATCGTTTTACAAATGTAGAAGAAAGTTACAGACCTAATATGCCATTCAGGCCACCCATGTTCTATCGATCCGCCAGATACGCGACGAAATCAGTTGTAAGTTCTGTTTAACTTGTAAGCATCTTATTAGGAAGTCAGTACTATGAAACTTGAGAAAAAATTAATTACACTGCCAATATAAATAATATATTATTAAAGATAATAATATTTTATGAAATTGTCGAATTATAAGCAATTTCATTTCATAGGATCCGGACGATCTTCTCGGGTTCACTTTGAGTTCTGAGGAACTCGACGAACTCCATGAGGAAATCGGTGACAGAATTGCTAGGAATTCCAAGGAAACTTTCCTGACCATTGCCAAGAAATGCTGCTTGAACGCGAAACTATGCAACGACGATCCAACCCTAGTCCCTTGCATGGGATTTTGATCGCGCCTCTGTTCATCGTCTAACTATAATTCTCAGGAAAATCAAGTGTACATAGATTGTAATTAGATTCTCGAAAATTGAAGA